GTGGCGCGATCTTCAATAAATCCAGCCAGTTCATCTGCTTCGCTGACGACGTGAACATTGTCGGAATAATGTTTCAGGCGGTGGCGGAGCAGTAACGTGATGTAAAGACAAAGTATCTGTTGGCTGGACCGAGCGTGATTAGTCTCACATAGGCAGAAGTGTGATAATCGACGGAGATGACATGGTGGTTGAATTTGTGTGCCTCGGATGTAGGCAATGCTCGAGGCGAACCTGCAAGAACTGGGAAATTTTGAACGACACGAGCTTAGTGGAGGAGAATAATTAACCACGAGCTAGCCCAACTCTATGGCTAACCGAGTATTCAGATAGTCGGTAAAGCTGGGAGGGTACAATGGGTGGGACACGTTGTAAGAATGCCGAACAATAATATCGTAAAAATGGTGTTTGCCTCGAAGCCAGCCGGTTCAAGACCCAGAGGAGTGCAGCGAGCTAGGTGGTTTGATCATCTAGGGCAAAATCTAAGAAGTGTGGGCGCTCAAGAAACTGAGGGACGTTAGGCTAGCAAAAGTAAAGTAAGCTATACAATGCTCAACAAAGTTTTCAAACAGTTTATTTCAGCTACTCTGCTTTTCCAAATCGTTCGCTGGAAACATATATCTTCTTCGCATTTCAAGCTTTTTGCTTATCGCATATTAGTTTATTGCGTGCTCTCAACCTACACACTTAGAAAAAATTACCGACGTCGGTAATTCATTTACCGAATTCTCAACAGCTGAACGGTCGGTAACGTGTTCGGTAATCGAGAACAAAGCAAAACTAGCTATCAAATTTACCGAGCGATCGGTAACGTTTACCGAAAAAACAAGCTTGATTTGTAATTGATTTTACCGGAGAACTGTAATTTTGGAGTCGATATGGAAAATGAAAATTACTGAAAGATCTGAAATTTAAAAAAAAAAGTTTACCGACTCAAATTTAATTCGCTTTAATATTGTTTCAAGCTGTTTTCTTGGTTTTATCAATTATTTAAATTAAGTACATTTTTCCTTAGTCATTTATTTCATTCTTACGGAAATGTTTTATGTAAATCGAATAGCTCAAAACTTACACGTAGCGCTGGCAGTTATTGCAATCCATGCAAAAATTTGGCTCCAGTTGTGATCAATGTGTTGATGTTGAAAACTGCTCCACCGATGAACAAAAAAAAAGTTTTTGTCGGAAGGATTCAGTGGTACACCGAAAACAGGGAAGCATTGGATGAAGATCCCAAATGCTGATTTTAGATTGTCGCCAACGGGAATAGCAATGGTATCGCAGCATACTGCACATCCATCTGTCACGTCAGGGAAATTTCCTCGCACTACCAATAGTGAAATGCTTCCACTATCCTGCGGAAAATCATCTTCGGGCTAGAACAAAAACATTTAATAAAGCAACTAATTTTTATTATACCATACGTCTCACCTGTATCCATTTTAAACACCTGATAAGGGATTGTTCAATACTGCGTCATCCATCAGTCTTGGCTCGTTTGAAACCACGCGATTTTTTTTAAGAAGGTCGAAAATCACAATATGGTGAATTTGACGTTTCTCGCTGTGAAAACTACCGAACTCGGTAATGGAACGGGTTGTTTACCGAAACTTCAGTAAAATATTTCACCGAAGGCAGTGATCAAGCTGATTTACAGATCTACCGGTAATTTTTTTTTACCGTTTTCGTTGAATTGAAATGACATCACCGAAATTCGGTAATTTTATTTACAGTTTTCAGCAATAGAGCGAGAAAATACCGAAACATCTGTAATGTTTAGAATTACCGAATTAAAACGGTAATTTTTTTTACCGAACTCAGGATCTCTGTTTAAGTGTGTAGTGTTCTAGATGCACTTCCAGTAGTTAATTGAAAGCTTTCGTTACCTGTACCATTTCTGCATTATCCGCATTGGTAGTCGATCCCTGCAGACGTGTTTTTAAGTTTCTCATCCCATCCGCACGTAGTTTTCTTCATCTATTGTGCAATGAGGTTGATTGGATGTGCTATTGTGCGGTATATTCGGGAGGCGCATATAATGTAGAAGGCCTTGGTATGGCCTATTGTGCGTCAATATTATTCTTGTAGTGTCCAGATTTGCACTTTTTGGTTCATTTATGTATGACCTTGATTATGCGTGGAGTGCGATATTTTGTGCGTATGAGTAGAACAAAGGAATAAACTAGAAGAGCGCTATCAGTCATTGCTATTGTTCCAGGAAAATTAAGCATTTCCGAAAACATGACGCGACTTAAGTTTTTTGGGTAACGGATTTCTTTTTAAAAAAGATTAAACATCTAGTCCACTTGAACACTCACTTAAGACTAACTTTATTTCTATCGATTAATGCTACAGGTGAACTTTATGTCTACTCAGCACCTCATGCCATCGGTGCAGAGTCCATGCACTGTCGTCCACGTTGGTCAATTTTGCTGATGCGCCTCGATGCTGCCGGTGCGATGTCGTTCATTAACCGGCGGCCGAGTCCCACGAATTCTGCTGACGTTCGTTGACACCTGGTGAGGACTTTGCACTTATTGTTCTACCAGCCGGATGGCAATGTTGCTAAGTCGGGTGACGATGTTGCTAACTCGCGCAAAGTCACTAGGCCATTCGAGTGAGATCTTTTAATTTTATCTATTTATATTCCGTTTTTATTACTGATTTATCAAATGCTCTATATTGACGAATAGAGTTTCCTAATCATTCACCCCCTTACTAACACACCGCTTCCCTTCTTGTGACATCTATGAAAGTAGTATGGGTTCTCTGCACCTTCTTAAGTAGATGTTGGATTAACTTTCCCTCCCTTCCCCTGATGGCGATCTAATGTTGACGCTTGGAAAATACGGGAAAGTCAAACGTGTCATCCGGGAGAAATTCACTGCGCAGTTGGGACTCGATATATACACAGGTGTGCGAGGTGTAGACATGAACGTTAAAATGGCCATTCCTGGCCCACGGGGAAGACCCTGAAAGAACCAGAAACGCAGGGCCAGGACGAGGAAAAGTAGCGTCACAAAGGAAAGCAAAGCAGCAGCAGTACTTAAGCTGTAGTGGCTGAAGGTGCGTCTTTGAACAACAACGATCAGGAAATGAATGAATTGAAATTGATGCGACTGGCCAGGAGGGGAACAACGAAGTAGAACAACAGTAGCAAAAACCTCGGTTCAAGTACACGAATCATGAGATCTATAAAAAGGCTCTAGAATTATGGAAGATACAACAAAATATAGCGGAGGAAAACAGAAGATGTAGGAAATGAGAAAATTGCAAGCACGATCCAAAACCGCAATCAAGCACCACCTAGGAAGAAGAAATCATTTGTATTTTTGAACATTTTAATGTTATATTAGCCGCTGAGTTGTGTTTCTGACATTTAAGCCTATATAAATTAAACGAATCGTAAAAAAAATGCACTTCGAAACTAACAAAAAAGTGGTCAACTTTTGGTAAAATTTTGTAAATTGTTTGCATATTAAAGTGATTTAAAAAGAATTAAAAGGAGTCATTTTCTGTTGTTTCTATTCTTAAAAAAAAATACCAAAATAAGTTAACAGTGTATATTTTCTGGAAAAGCCATCTGTTTTCCTACAACTACGTCTTAGGCTTCATTTCGATCATAATAGACGTCTCCATGATAAGTTTACTGAAATGAAACAATAACGAAACATAGTTGCATGGAAATCGATGATGGTCGGTTCGTCAGAAGGCGTGAAAATGCTTATTGATTTCTTCAGAAAATTTTCTTTAAAAAGATCGTTCTGCAGATCGTTTGTTGAGCATTGTATATCAAATAGCTAAAAAGTTCATATTTAGGGTTATCCAACTGTCATATTTAGGGTTATCCAACTTTGAAATTAGGGGCATAGTGATCATATTTTTCCGACAAACGTGAATATTTTGATTGTTTGTAGCTTATTTTTTAATTGATTATTATTTTTAAACCAGTCCTGGTGCTCAAACCCTTATTGAAAGTTATTTCAAATTATGAACATAAATATTATTATCAACAACTGTTATTCAGAAATAACTAAATACCACTTTTAGGGCGAAATTTATCTAATGTTTTTTTTAAGTGATTTTTATGCTGCATTAATAACCGTTCGTCTATACCTCTAAAATAAAGCTATGTTCATTGCAAAAATCCTTAAAAAACGGGTATTAAATATAATTCGAAATATGTCTCAACAAAGAAGCAGGCATATCAAGAAGATTTTAGCATGCAAAAATGTCAGAGTAAAAAATCGTTTTGATGAATAATCAAGATTGCAAAACTTGCATGGGGTCGTATTGACCCCAAGATACAGATAAAGGATTAAAGGATTTTCATCCTGCATTGATAAATTTTTGAAAAAAACAAGTTGATTTTCAACAGATTGTTCGATCAATTTCACCCCCGGTTCATAGTACCACCCTTGTTTCGCTCCATCAGAAGATTGGCTAAAATAAACTTACTTACTTACTATTCAGGCTAGTGCCAGTACACTGCAGTTGTCTCGTCTCTATTCCACTCGATCGATGGCTGCAAGACGCCAGCCACGCTGTCTGCGAAGGTTCCGCAGGTCACCATCCACCTAGGCGATCCACCATGCCAGCTATGTAGCTCTTCTTCTTGTGCTAGCCGGGCGATATTAAGAATCATTTTCATCAGGTTGTCTTCCGACATTCTTATGAGGTTCCCAGCCCATTGTAGTTGCCCGATTTTTGCAGTGTGGACGATGGGTGGCTCTCAGCAGCTAGTGCAATTTGTGTTTCACGTGGCCTTCTCCACGTTTCATCTTCGTACTGCACCGTAAATGGCTAAAATGAAACAAGTTGCAAAACTATTTACCTAAATCTATTGGTTTAGGTGCAAACAATTAATTCGGTTTATATCCGACATTGGGACCAACGTATTATAAAAAATTAAATTATATCAGCTAGTATGCCCTTTTAGCATTAAGCATCAATTGTTAAATAGCATCCGTATCAACCCGAGACACTCACTATTCTATTCTCTACAGTAACTTAACTTCAAACATAACTAGAGGTCTTGACGGGAATGACCATTCCACTGGGTGAGTTTGGTGTACAAGGAACCAAGTTCTGCGTTCTATTGGCGTTCAGTTTCAGTTCATTAATTCTCGTTGATCGTTCTACTGTTCATTTTGTATCATGTCATTTATTACCACACTGAACTATTACAGTACACTGGGACAAAATGGCATTTATTACCACACTGAACTACTACAGTACACTGGGATAAAAAAAAAACGAACAGAGATACACCCACGCCAGCATTATATATGGTCATTCAAAAGCACTTCAGTTTCTCGTATTGTGCACAAGCTATTGTTTATTATTTATGCTGATTTGATGCATGTACAGCTTGTTGGCTTATTCTAATTTCACTTCAAACTCAGAACAGATACACGACGAACATATCCGAAAGTCAAACCAATATTTGGTATGCACACAGAAAGTGATTGTCAAAACAATAACAGTTTTTCAGGTGTTTTTCCACCTTTTTTCATAGACGTGTGAGTGTCTTTGTGTATGCAGGTTTCCCAAACCGTGGCAGCTCAGAAGCGATTATCCTTTTCCTGTTCCAAGTATGTACGTAATACTAAACTGTTGCTCTTTCGTTTTTGTTTGCTTTTTACCCTCGTCCCAATCTGGCATCCGACGAACGACCTACGCGCGTGTGGCGAAAACTTTTCCCGTATGCAGGAATCGTGAAAAACTAAGGGAAATCCTCAACCTGCATCTGGTGCGCGACAGTATCACAACCGATAAAATCCGCAAGAACAATCAAAACCAGGTGAGTAGCCTCCTGAAAAGCAGTCCGAAAAGGAGATTACTGTTAACAAAGTATTAGCATTGCACATCACAGAACAAGTGACAGGCTTGCGGTAAGCAAAATGTTGACAAACCTTTGTTTTCGTTCTAATCCCACGCAGATTTACCAAATTCCTACCGGAGCAGACAGGAAGTTTCTGTACTTTAACGTTATCACAAATCGGTACGACCATAATCAGACAATCACAGTAGAAGGTGGAGGCGTCAATGCAACGATTATCCTGAGTGATATTGCCGCTACCAATGGATATCTACACATCATCGATCGTGTGCTGGGTATTCCATACATGACCGTTCAGGAAAAGATTGAAACCGACCCCATGTTGAAGTAAGTACATATTGTTGTTCCTTTATCCTCTTCAAACATAAGCAGTGTATTTTATGCAACGACCTCAATAAATATAAAACACAAATTTCCATTCCTGAGGATTTGTCGCAATTCAAATGTGGCAGATTGATTTTTCTGTAACCAAGCGTTCACGTCCATCTATTTTCATGGAGGTTTTATGCTGTACTTACGAGATTTTAAATTTATGGCAACAGAAAAGGAAACAGTCACGTTGATTGAATTGATTTCTGTCTCAGTAGGGGTGGTAGGGTTGGGAATGTATTGAAAGAGAAGCAACGAAACATTTTTTTTTTTATAATCAATATAATCGTGGAAGGAATGTGAGCGCTATAAGTGGCATGCAAAATTAGCAGAATTATAATAAAATGCCTCTTTCAACATAAAACCTGACTAATCCACTGATTGGTGACATGTGCCTTTCTCCCATTTCCTTATTTGTGTAGGCTTTTAACGCTTCCTTTGCGAGCGTTTTGCCGGCTCTCAAGTGTTCTAGATGTACTTCCACGGTTATTAATTCATAGCTTTATATGCCAACCAATGCATGAGTTTGTATATTGTGTGGCAAGCACAATAATACTATATGCCCAGGAAAGTCGAGAAAATTACAAATCCCAAAGACTTCCTTGACTGAACAGGGAACCGAATCCACTGCCTCTGGCTTGGTAATTTGTGCCATTACTGACTAGGCCAAACTCTTCCACAAATAATTGCAAATAAAACATTATTTTTTAATAAGAATTTTAATGAATTAATCACGACTGAATTTATAAGAGTAATACGCATCATTCTTGTACTTGAAAGCAGCCGGCAGCTGTTTCAGAGCATCGCTTGCTTCCTCTCCACTGTTCTTCTCGGAATCCGGAGACATCACATCCATCTTCACCACCTCTTCTTCTCACACCTCAACTACTTTCTCGGAGCCTTTGCGCAGCTCTCTTTTTCATTCCATCTTCTTCACGATTTGGGAAGTGTAGTGAGATGGGAATCTTTTTTTTTGTCCATTTATACATCCCGTACACCTGTGTACATGTAGAAAACCAGTTCGTATTTCTCCAGCATCAACGACATTATGCTCTCACGTATTGAACGGCAGAGTTGCGACCTATCACAATCACGATCGTCAAACAGCTGATGGTAGTAACGCTTTGTACATTCCTATCAATGTGCTCGTCGAAGCTCTCTCCATGACCATCCATCAAGTTGACGAAAGAAGTAAAAAGCAACTGGTGAATGTCGTCTTCGGTTGTGATCCATCACCGATATGGTCATTCCAGACAATCATGACACTCATCTGTGCTTGTTTTAAATCAGTTGCTAACTTGCTTGCTTATGTGAGTGTGTTGGTGAGTGAGCCCAACAGCTTCCGTTTAATGTTGCCTGCTTTGTTTGCAACTCACACAGTCACGATTGCCGAGACGAACTTGGAATGCGTAGGCATTGTTTCCATTTGCTTCTGTCCTTTCGCTTTTTCTCATGATCGTACTCCAGAAGTCTTCACTGTTTTCGTTGTGCTTTTCATTATCAGCAGTGAGTGTAACGTTTTGCTTGTGAGCAGCGACCATTACTGGTGATTGTTGTTTGCCATGGCTCTACCTCTCACTGCGTGACAAAACGTTCTGTCAATGATAGTCGGTTGATGAGAAGACGAGTGTCACGTGAGTGTCATGATATTTTACATCACTGTTGAACAGTGCCCCCTGCAGGCGACATGCGTTCATCAACTGATTTCCCATCGCCATAATGGAAAATTCATTATTCCCGGATGTGCAGAAAACAATGAAGCATCAATTCTTCTGATTTGAACTTGATGAACAGCACTTTCACGAAAATTGAAATTTCACCAATAGATGGTTTCGCACTGCCATGTGCGCATGCTTGACATGCACAGTTGTACACACCAACTGCTCATTTGTTTATAACTTTTCACTCTATTATTGAAATTTGATTTTCTTTAAAGTAATTTGTTTACTATAGATATGCAAAGAATAAGTAAATTTTAACATTTGAATCAACACCAATGAAGGTTTACACTTAAAGTCCGACATGTGCAGCGAGCATTTCTCACTTCATTTTTACAACGCAAAAACAAATACAATTAAAATCTTCTTTTTTATGTATCTATACCAAGCTTAAACCCTATTCTATCTACTGGTTCGAAGAGAACTATGTTATTAGTAAATGAGCAGTTCGTGACCAAAGCTGTCTATGCCAAGCATGCATGTGCAAAACTGATTTTTTTTATATCTGTATTAAGGAGACTTTAGTGGGCCTTCCTTAGCTCAGTCGGTAAAGGCGCAGCTACAAAGCAAAATCATGCTGGAGGTGGCTGGGTTTGATTTCCGGCTCGGTGTAGGATTTTTTCGGGATGGAAAATGTATCGACATATCTGGGCATAGAGTATGATTGTGCTTGCCATACAATCATACTAATGCGAAATTGGTACAGGCATCGCTTGCTCTCAATTAACAACTGTAGATGTGCCTCTAGAATACTAAGTTGAGAGCACGCAATAAGCTAATATGCGATATGCAATAAGCTTAAAATACGATTAAGACCCATCAGCCATCTGGAGTTATTCTACTAATTTACAAAGTCTGCTGGATGAAGTCTCTCTTGAGGTAACTGACAATCCTTATAAAGTTGAATCTCTGAGGTCCGATCTCCAAGCTATATGTTATACGGTTTGCTTGCTATGAGGAAATTGACATATCACCTCAAGAGGTGCATTGATTGATACTAAAAAGTATATCCACTGAAGTTATCTGAACATCAATTTGTTGTCAAAACATTTCTATGGAGAATCCTGATGAATGTGGGCGTCTTAGTGGAATACCTGTATAAAGAGAGAGAATTAGTAATTTCCATTTAATTCCACTACCTTATTTGCTTATCCTTGACAGATACGCGTATTTCGTCTACAATGTGCAGACTTCTTCAGTGTCTTGTACTAATAATCGACTGAAGAAAAACATCACATTTTACCGAATATATATTAACCCAGTTACATTTTCGCTTGGAAGCTAGGTAAACTTAAATTGAATTTCCTGTGGGAGCAGGTACTCCGCTGCTTACTCGTTGATGTGTCCTAGGTAGTAACTTGAAAAACCATGTATGTCAGTTTCCTTGATCCCTGTCCCGGACTGTATAGACAGCTTCGAGTAGTCCCTTACATAGGGAGACGCGTGGAGAAAGCACTGAAGAAGTGCAAATCGATATTAGGAGATGGAGCAGGTCGTTTACGTGAATCAAATCCCATTCTACCCAGGATCAAAGGTCTCCCTAAAGTTCACAAACCGGGAAATGAAATGCGAGAGATCGTGTCTGCAGTTGGTTCCCCCACAAACAAACTAACGAAATGGATAGTCACAGAGTTCCAGAGTATGCCGAATCAGTTCCAGAGTAAAGCAGTTAGTATCACCCAAGAGTTCACCCAGCAACTACAATCTTCATGAGACATCAATGAGGACGAGATTATGGTTTCTTTCGACGTCACAGCTCTTTCCCAGCGTACCAGTCAAGGAAGCGATCAACCATTTGGAGGACTGGCTATTAACACAACGAGAGGATGCAGCAAGGAGAAACAAGGTTCTGACGTACCTTCAGCTGACCCGCCTTTGTATGGGAGAGAACTACTTCTCTTTCCGAGGTAACTTCTACAAGCAGACGAAAAGAGCCCCAATGGGAAAAACCCCCCATTCTTGTGTGAACTTTTCATGGCCAACTTGGAGACAATCTGGAAGGAGAAAGGACTATTACCAAACCGTTGGTGGAGGTTTGTTGACGATATCTTCAGCGTAGTTAAACGGGAAGCCCTTCCACAAATTTTAGATGAGATCAACAGAATTCACAAGGATATCAAATTCACTCACGAGGTAGAAAAAAGACGGGAAACTCGCATTTCTCGATCTTCTAGTCATCAGGGAATCGTCATAATCTTCTTCGCTTGAATACGAAAGGAAACCAGCAAGCACTAACAGAGTTATCCCCTATACTTCCTCAGATTATTTACAACCCTCACCGCAGCACCTGAACCCTTGAAACGAGCGTCCGTTCCATTTGATAAAGATATTACTTGTAAGCTAAGACCACAGTTAAAACAATTCGGATAAGATTTAGTTTTCACCAGTAGACATAACCAGTTGAAATCATTTTTAGGATCCACTAAAAACCCAGTTCATGTTTGTAATAAAGTATACGTAGGACAAACCAAGAGAACTTTAGCAACTAGATTAAAATAACATATAGCGGAGGCCAAAAAGCAAGAGAAAAAAGGCCTAACATATGATTTCAAATCAAAGGTTGCAGAACACATCTTCACAGAGGACCACCAGCTATCGACGGAGGACATCACGATTTTACTAACCGTATCTACTCCATGAAATTGGATGTTGCAGAGAGCCTCGAGATTAACAAACAACGGAAATCAACTTTACTCAACAGGGATCAAGAAAACGGACACACATGGATTTTCAAGTTATTACCGAGGACACATCAACGAGTAAGCAGCGGAGTACCTACTCCCAGGCATGGAAAATCATTTGCATTCATTTCGTGCATTCATTTACATTCATTTGCCTCTAACTTTTATCAACAACAGAATTTAGCAAAATAATGTATGAAGTTTTTGTAGGCTTTGTTATTAACTACAACTTTTGTTAACAACTTAAATCCGTATCTCTTATGCATGACGAACCAGAACGAAGAGAAGCCACTACTGTTTTTCAGTGAATGTATTTTACAGATTTGAGTTGTGGCCAAAAGTTGTAGCTAATAACAAAACCTACAAAAGCTCTTTACATCATTTTGTAGAATGCTGTTGATGAAAAAAGTTAAAGGCAAATGAATGTAAATGAATGCATGAAATGAATATAAATGATTTTCCATGCCTGCCTACTCCTACAGGAAATTAAATGTAAGTTTAGCTAGCTTCTAAATGAAAATGTACCTGGGTTAATATATATTCGGTAAAATGCGGTGTCTTTTTTCAGTCGAGTATTAGTACAAGACACTGAAGAAGTCTGCACATTGTAGACGAAATACGCGTATATGTCAAGGATTAGCAAAATTACTAATCATTCGCTCTGTCTTTATATATCTATGGAGCTCACCAATAAGTATTGTGACATCCTAGTCCACTAGTCCTCTAAAAGCTGGAGTAGACCTTCAAGAACTCCATTGTCTAAAGTTGAGCGTAACGACTTTTGTATCAGGTCTACAAGTCTTTTGAACTAAGACGATTCTATCCGTTATATCTGGCTGCATGTTATACATGTGACTGAGTCACCGACAAACCGACATGACACTCAATTCTGACTTATGCCCGAAAATCGTAAACGGCCGATTTAAATGTGCAGTGATCCGAACTGTCAAACCGTAGGATTTATTGATCTAGATAAAAATAATTTGTCCATAATAGATCAGACACGAACCAATTCATAACTTTTGCAGGCGGGTTCATGGCTTAGCTAAATATTTCCCGCGAACACTGAGCCAGATGTCAGTAGTGTCTTTGGTCAGAAATTTTATTGTTTTTGCTATGGTCATTCATGTCGGTTTGTCGGTGACTGAGTGTCCGAAGGCATCAGAAGAATGATAATTAAAAAAAAAAGTCTTGAATTAAATAGATAAATTACAATCCTTTCAAACTCCATTATTCCAGACCAGTTACATATGACCATAATGAGTAAATTTTGGACTGACTATAAAATATTGAACGAAATAAACAAAAATATAAGAAGACTTAATATTCGGGTATGCATCAAGATCCGAGATTGATTGTTTTTTTTTAGGATAGAAGTGTAAAGGGTGTTCACGATGAAATTGCGTTATACATAAACAACTGTAACTATTTAACCATGATACCAAATAACTTGAAATTTTCAGTGAATATTTCAATTTTAAATCAGCTGTTATTCATGGAAATTTCTTGGTCATTGTTGATTCACGGGACCTACCCATTTAAATATTACATTGTAAAATATTGTGCAGTCGTTCAGAAGTGACACTTCAAAATTTTGACTCATATTGACGTTAAAAAATCTTAATTAAGGATTGAAGCACATGGAACGTCAATACTCTCAAGTCCAACAAAAACAACAAATTCATTCACACTTTAAAGTTTCATAATCCGGAAATAAATTGCACAAGGAATAGAAAAAAATAAGAAAAAATCTACAAAAGCTATTTTTAACTGTAACTCGGGATGCAGCATAGACCATCATAAAAATTAAACGTGTGCAATATGGATTAAATAACCCTACCTGGAAAATGTTAAGTTACTACTTGGAATCGGATCAAAAGCTACAGCTACATATATATAAACTTTTTCTTGCACAGGTTGGCTTATGAAGCTGTCAATTAAAAAATGTGAAAATGCTACAAATAACATTCAGTTGACTGCCGGTAAAAGCTAGTGTAAGAGCGTCAAAGCCAGCAAAAAAAAAATGATGAAGAAGTTGCTGGCCAAATTTGATTTTGAGGTTTTTAAAAGTCGTACCAAATATGTAGAAGCTGCTAAATTTTAAATTAAATCAATTTGCCGTCTTCAACATACTTTTTCTGTAAAATTAAGTTAATCCAATTCGCAATTACTTATGATTAAATGTGAATCAAGTCTATTTTTTTTACAGGCAACGTAAATTTTAAGTTTATACACATTTTAAATCCGACACAAATCTAGATGGCTTCCTATTTTTTTTTTTCAAACATGGCACAGTTGTTACATAATCAAATCAATCCCTGAAACTGTTAAACCAAAAAAATTACACACCTATCGAAGCCTTTACAAAGAAACCTGTTTTGAGCACAAACAAGTAATGTTATGACAAAATTTGTCACAATTTGATACACATTTGATTAATGTGCAGTTTTGTCCACACAGCTATAACATTGACGCCAACACAACTAATTCATCCTTCTGTTGTTTCCAGTCTTACGTACCAGTTCGGTCGCCTGAACCAATTCAATGAACAGCTAAACAAGACAACCAAACGCTTCACCTACTTCATCCCTCGTGACAAGGCGTGGATGCAATGGTTTCACGAGCATCAAGGAGCACACTTGAACAGTTTCCTAACTGACATTTATCAGGTAAGTAAACTTGTTCCCGGGTTAAAAATAAACACTGTCTCTAGATTCCAGCACTCACAATAAAACTTCTCGCTATAGTTACAAATTCATCCCACCGAGGCCGACAAAGGAAGTTTTTAATTTACTCTATTGTTTTGGTACTGCCCGTCTGCCCAAAATTTATTACCCTCTAAATACCGTGATCCCTTTCAACGGAGTGGAAAAAATGGCATGCTCTGTACCTCGTCGACCACTACCTTTCTGAAACTTATGAATTTCAGGAGCACGTCCAAGATGAAAAATTAGTTGAGAAGAATAGTCCAAGCATCCTCCCATGCGAAAAAATACACAAAATGAAGAGTAAAGGGATGAATTTATAATTGTTCCAAAGCCCGAAACTCCAAACAATGCTGTGAAATTAAGTTTTAATTAAAATTCAACACCAGTCAGAAATGGAAATACAGTGCCAGAATGTTTCTGAGAACAAAATATGAAACCAAACGAAAACAGGAATGTATACGGACCTCAAAGCTCCGACGTGCTGGTGTTGGGTCAGTGACGTAGACGTATCAAGTAGCGTTAAAGTAATTTATCAATAATTAATTACCGTCTTGTCGTCGTTTCCCAATGGGGGACTGCGGTTGACCGTGCCGTTCTCTCAAGCTCGGTGTGATCTGTAGAGTGGGTGATGGACTATGCTTAAATTTGCATTATTTTATTCGTCGAGTCTGCACTTTGCGACGACAGAACCGTGGGGGCTCCAAGTTGCAACCTCACCAAGCTAAGTTGGTGGATTCCCTCTAAGAGTTCTATTGCTAAGCTACGAGCTTATAACTCTGCCTTCTTTTATAATGGAAATGATGAATATTTTCACTAGACACACTTGAAATGTAATAGAAGGGAAATTAATATCAAATCATGGATCTCTCGGAAACAGTAATTTGGATCAAATTAAACTGTTGAATTATTACCATCTGTCAAATAGAAATTGGCTAACCATTTTCAAGCGATAACTCGAAGTAGGAAGCTCTTATTTTGAGTGTTTTCAAAAGGCCATGATCGTCTATTCAAGGGACCATGCCTGACTCTAAGCTGCTTTGACTTCAATGATGTCGGTCGACATGGTAGAATTTTCCGCTAGAGAAAGGGCAAAATTCCCTAGACAGCAATAAGTGAAGACCAAGCGCAGCCACGGAAGAAGAACGACAAAAACAATTGAGAAAATGGCATTTAATAAACAAATTGCTACTGGCAAAAATAAGTCTATTTGACTAGCCCAAGATGCCAGTGGAGATTTTAAGGTTATTAGCAGAAAATATTCACAGAAAAACCGGAGTGGACTGGGTAAAAGCATTTATTGCAGATCAGAGATAGGAAGTAAATTGAAGCCTTTTGATTTTATTTCCTCAGGAGCAATAAATGGAATGCAATATTGATAACTTTTGGAGATTGTACTGATTAAAGATGACGATCGATGATTTTGCTTGTAAATTGAGTATTCGATAATTTGCTAAAAATAATACAATTTTCAAATACTGATTGTTTAAAGTCTGAGAGTCTGATTCGTTTGGTATTCTATGTTCGAGTGTTGCAACGTTTTTAAAGCACTAGATTTATGTTAATTACTGTTAATCCACGATCTGGAATTAGTAGTTCTCAAATCCTGGTTTTTCGATATACTTTTAAAAATTCCGTAAACTCGCGAGCTAGTACTATAAGACAAATGATGTAATGCAAAAAAGCAAATTTATTTTCCGGGAATGGCTACCCCATTTTTTTTTTAAACTCCATACTGCAACTAACGGATCACCAATATGGAACACCTGCTCTATATATTTTTGAAACGATAAAAATAAGCAAGCCGTTAATAAATATCAACATTGAATAAAAACTAACCCTTACACGGTCAACATCGGGCTGGGATTCTAGAGACATTATTCTGTGCTTAATTCTTAATCATATTTTTCCTCCCTTTGCCTTTGCTTTCTACAACAATTAACGTCGGGTGGTACTACCGTGCACTTTTCAAACTGCAGTCAAGATCCGTCCTAGAGCGTCATCTGGTGGTGGCAGATCGGGTGTTTACCATGTCGGATCTGAGAAACATGTCCAACGATTCGCTCATCCTGCCAACGGTTGGACCGCATAACCTACAGATTCGAGTGAAAGAGGAAGACCGAAGTGAGTATATATATGTACTTTTAATTTCTCTTTACCATCAAACAGCTCGTAGCTTGTTCGTTTTTTACCATGTTCCTCCATTTCTCCAGTTTTCCTAATAGGAGACATTTGTTTAGCCATGAAATCTTAATTTTCTAGAGCTTTGTTGATTTTCCTTCTCGGAACTCGCCAACAAGGGAGTATTCGCACCGTATACTGATAACAAGAGGCTTGTGCTTGTGACTACATCGTCATGGGCAGAAGTACTCCCAGTCTCAGTTGACTCTTGTATACATCCCCGTTGCTATGCTTGAAAATGAGATAAACATCACTCTATTTGGCGAAACAAACATGTTTACTCGGTAGCAAATGAAAGGATAGTCAATTGTTGAGCTCTTTTAGGAAAATTAAGCTGGAGTCTGGTTTATATAATCGAAATCAAAAAACATTTCACACTGTTTGCTCTGAAAATCATTTACTGTCTTACATTATCATCTAATTGTACATTTTCCTCGCTGCATATCCCATGATCCTTCGTTAATATATATGTATCATCCATTTCCATCATCCAAATTGCATTATTTTTGGAACAGCCGAAGATGATTACTCGAGTTCACTTCAGTCTGGTGAGTGTCTCCGTGATAGTGTGTTGTGTACTTTTCACTGCACCACGTTTAAAAAACTATTACTCAACTAGCAAACACACACTCGTGAACTCGCACAAACATATTACAGTTATTATTTTACGCTCGACATTAAAGCATACACGAGAAGTCCAATATTGCCACAACTGCTGAACCAATTCGAAAAGTCATCAGCACACTTTCTTTGGATTGTTTGCTGCAAGGTAATTACTATAAGCAGAGATGGATCGCTCTTTTGCGACTTTTTTATTACTTTTAATATTGAATGTTTACTCTAAATCCAACTGAATTTTCAGTTACCCATCTTAAAATAAATAGTTTACTGCTATTATTCTCCCTATCAAAATTCAAAATTTCCGCACCGCAAAGCCACACTCTATATTCTAACTGAAGGTATACTTGAGGGTGCTCCTGAGTGCACCTTCAGAGAAAACACAAAGTGTGACTACGATGCGGAAAATTTTTCATTTTGACAGAAAGATTCTTATCATTAAACTATCTATATCACGATGGATTAATTGAAATTTCAACGGGATTTTACGTTAGAATTATATAATAAAAGTAATGAAAAAGCCCCACAAGTGCGAACCATCACTGTCTATAGGTATCCGCGATTTTTCGAAGGATCTGTCGCAACGTAATCATTTCATCATTAACAGCATAAATTCACATGAGCAGACATGAGCCTTCCATGATTGCTTTGACGAGTTTCTCATAACGAAAAGTAGCTTTAACCGCATAAATTACAATTTTACTCAACTAACGTTCAATAGCATTCAGACAAGCGCTTATAAGGTTCCAACGAATGTTGTTGTTAACGTAAAAGTGGTATTACTCATTTAAGACAACAAAAAAAGTATTTCGGAACTATGAAATCAGTATGGATACGAACAGAGGTTGCAAAGCAAGTGCTTTAGACATAAAACCTGTAAATTTCGCTTCTTAATAGTCGCAATCAGCGATTTTATCAATTATCACTCACACAGTGATCATAAAATCGCTGACTGTGGCTGATAGAAAGCAAAATTAACAGGGTTTTAGGTGTCAAATACATGCTTTAGAACCTGTTCTTGTGACTTACAACAGCTTACAAGTAAAATATAATGGTTTTATATGAAATGAGCATTTTCATTCTTGTATTTCATTAAACTAAGTGTTAATGAATCTGAATTATTTAACATATTACGGTATAATGTTTACAACATTGAGAAATCTAAGGTTTTCTGAGAAATTTAGTTTAAATTAAGAATGCTATTTAAAATTGTAAGAAAATGTTATAATGGAACCGTCTAATATGATGTCTAATATGATGTTGGACCACCATTTGCTTCAATAACAGCTTGAATTCGTCTGGGAATTGATTCATAAAGTTTTTGGATGGCTTCTAGTGGAATGTTGTACCATTCTTGGATCAGAAGATGTTCAAGCGTTTTCAAAAACGATGGAGGAGCTTCGAATACGAGCTTACAACGTCGACCAAAGTGGCTCAATTATATTTAAATCCGGCGACTGTGCTGGCCATGGCAGGTGTGTAAAGTCCTCGTCGTGTGCCGCACTACAGTTCCCCCCAGGACATTCCAGTCAATGTGGTCATCCCAGGAAAGGTCAATGTGGTCAATGATCCACTTCAATTCTATAGAAAGCATATTCATGAAAATCCATGTAGAAGGAGCTGTCGCACGGCATGTTTTTGAGTAAAAACGCAATTTTCCCCTGCTACAGGTTCTCCCGGAGGTATCCAGTGGTTCCGAGAGCGGCCAATATGGTCAATGATTCACTTTAAGTCTATAGAAAGCATATTCATGAAAATCCATGTAGAAAAAGCTATCGCATGGCATGTTTTTGAGTAAAAACGCAATTGCCTCCTACTACAGGTTCCCCCGGGGGTATCCCGTGATTCCGAAAGCGGCCAATGTGTTCACTGATCCATTTGAAGTTTAATGAATGCCTATTCACGAAAAACTATGAAGACTGAGCTGTCGCACGGCATGTTTTAGTATAAAAATGCAATTGTCCTCTGCTCCAGGTTCCCCCGAGAACATACCAGAGGTCCCGATAGCGGCCAATGTGGTAAATGATTCAGTTTAGGTCTATATAATGAATATTCATGAAAATCTATAAATAAAGAGCTGTCGCACGGCGCGTTTTTTAGTTAAAACGAAATTGTCCCCTGCTACAGGTTCTCTCGGGGCATCCCAGTGGTTCCAAGAGCGGCCAATGTGGTAAATAATTCACTTTAAGTCTATAGAAAGAATATTCATGAAAATCTATAAAGAAAGAGCTGTCGCACGGCATGTTTTTGAGTAAAAATGCAATTTCCCACTACTACAGGTTCCCCCGGGGGTATCCCGTGATTCCGAAAGCGGCCGATGTGGTCACTGATCCATTTGAAGTTTAATGAATGCTTATTCATGAAAAACCATGAAGAATGAGCTGTCGCACGGCATGTTTTGGTGTAAAAATGCAATTGTCCTCTGCTCCAGGTTCCCCGGGGGCATAGCCGAGGTCCCGAGAGCGGCCAATGTGGTCCCTAATCCATTTAAAGTCTATCAAAAGCCTATTCATGAAAAAGCTTGCAGAAAAAGCTATCGCATGGCATGTTTTGGTGTAAAAATGCAATTGACCCCTGCTACAGGATCCCCCGGGGGCATACTGGATGTTCCGAGAGTGGCCAATGTGGTTAATGATGCATTTAAAGTTTATCGAAAGTCTATTGACGGGAAACCATGAAGAAAAAGCTGTCGCACGGCATGTTTTGAGTGATTAAATGATCTGCCCGCATTCAGAACCCTCCACCAGAACCGATTCCAGGGAAATGGCCATATCTCGGTTGATTATAGGCCGATTTTAGTTCTTGGCATATGATTCGCTTTAAAAATGGTTCTTCTTTCGTTGTGTTTACTAAAAATATATATATTTAACCAGCATCATATATAAAATTTCACCAAAAATTTAGCAAGTTAGACAAGCCCTCCGGAAACCCAGAATATCTCCAGTATCCAGTGACCAGGATTATTTTCGTGGCTACACCGTAGAACAATATTAGTTTTCTAGTCAAATGCTTTTGGAAGATTTAAAATCGAATCATATTTGACGAAGTTACAACACTCCAAAGTTGACCAACAATTTGCCTATCCTATTTTGAGATTTCCAGAGAAAACTAGATGTATGAGTGCTCATTGCAAGCGCAATGCGGCAGCGGAAGCGGAACGGCAGCGGCAGTGGAAAAGCCAGATCTGAGTCAGCCTACTTGTCGGTTTGAAAACTAGTTAGAACCAAATCGACTTCGGTTAGGCATCTTGATGTCATATGTGACAACTGTCAAACTTTTCGTTTCCGTTCCGCTCATGCCCACATTGCATTTGGGCCAAGTCTGCACACAACAAAATATAAATTTTAATATTACATCCAGAAGATGCACTTAAATCATGTCGAAAATCTCATGTAATTTTTTATGTCCACAAAAATAAACAAATGCAGTAAAAGCAGCGTAATGTCAGTTCATGCACTGAATTAATGATAATTTTGTCCTTTTTGGGAAGTAATATTACACCATATATTCGACACGATTGAAATGCATCCACTTTGATGTGATATTAAAATAATTTTTTTTTGCTGTGCACTGATCGACTACCGGTCAAAGACCTATAGAACTTCTCATCAAGGCATTATGGAAAAAGACTAGAAGACAAGGATCAAAAAAGTTTGATTTTCCCATAGTAATTCCCCTAACATCAAATGTTTTGTGCCAAGGCAGTTTCTTATCAAACGAGCTCAAATTTTGGGAAGCTAATCAGGACCCGATTTGAGGCCGTTTGAGCATTGTGGAGCTAAAATTTTAAATTTTACATCAGTCTATTAATCAATTTCAAATTTAAGATTTCAAAAATGTCCCAAACATAAAAAAAACCTTTCAATATAGGGGAAATGGCTCTAATGTTGGCCTATGGATCTAAGATTGGGCCCATCGCCAAAAATCTGCTATTTATCAATTTTTCTAGATGAACGCGTCATTGGGGTACTAATGGATATTTTTGAACGCTATTGAAAATTTAGTCGATTGCTTTAGGGCATTTGGGCCGACATTACATTCATTTCCCCTAATAAGTAATTATACACAATTTATGACTAGCAATCGACTATATTTTTCATTATTGTGCGATTTGATGTCAATTGATGGGTTTTTGGCTTGTCAAGTGTTAATGCGGGTCAAACATCATCTTTGGTGGATTGATTCACTTTCTTTATTTTTTCACGAAATAAATACTCTTAAGAAACAATTGCTGTGCAAGACAATCTTATTTATTTGAATACTAGATTTTGGACCATTTTATAAAATAAGGGATCAAGTCTCTCTGTGGTGCAGATAATTGGGCCGCTTTTCCAAATTTCAGTACACGGTTTAAAGTGAGTGAGAATAAATCTATCTATTCACATTGTTTCAGAAAGTTACTGATTCTGATGTACGGGTATTTTTTTGATAAACTGTGTTTGACCTAGTTATCCATTGAATCTAACCGCATGAGGCGCTCTGAAAGTCCAGTTGTCCCCTTTAATAGATTGCAAATAAAAATGCTAAATAACAAATTTAAAATTTGAAATTTGTTCGTGACCGGTATTCCAATATAAATACATTTTGAAAGTGGGCGTTTCTTGATCTAAGCTTCAAGTAGACTACCTGTATCTCCACTTGCCTCATTTTCCCCTTTAAGCTCATGAAATAATGGTCCAACAAATATAAAATATGCAAGAACTTCGCAAGGAATGATTATAGAGGCTAAGGTTTTTGGAAAAAAACATGAACAATCATATACAAACCATGCAAATATTCCACGGCACTTACTGTTAAAGCTTAAGCTGGATCTGCCGAAAATGAGGAAAATTGACGAAAAATTTCTCACTCTAGGAGTAGTACCAATGGACTAAGCGAGCCCAATCTTTACTTTTCTCATATTCAGGGATTTGTTCCTGGACAAACCAGG